AAAAAAAATAGGTTTTTTTATTGAAAATTTTCATTTTGACTCCAGGTTGACGGCCGTCATGAGCCACGACGAGGACGGCTTCACGCAGGCGCTGGGTGACTCGGTGGACTTGGTGGCGAGCATGCCGTCGCCGCGGTTCATCAAGAGCCACCTGACCTGGGACCTGCTGCCCGAGCAGATGTCTACGGTCAAGCCCAAGGTGGTGTACGTGGCGCGCAACCCCAAGGACATGTGCGTGTCCTACTACCACTACTGCCAGCTGGTGCACCGCCTCACGGGTGGCTTCGAAGAGTTCGCCGAGCTCTTCATGCAGGACAAGGGTGAGTCTTGTCGGTGGTTCATTCGTTTTTGTTTTTTTTTCGAGTGATCGAAATCCGTTAGTTAGTCTCTGTTGTGTTCTTCCGGCACTACCCGGCCCGTCCGCCGCGGTACGGCGACCGCGGTTGACGCGGCGGTGGGCCTCTTGAGGCGGGCCTGAAGGCGGGCCCCCTGTGGCGCAGCATCGCCCGATGGGTTGCCTACCCGCGCGGCGCCAGCGGCGCCTCTCGCTCGCCTCGCTCTAACCCCCGCTCCCCTTCCAGCCCCGGTCGGACCCATCTGGCGCCACATCCTCAGCTTCTGGGAGAAGCGCGACGAGCCCAACGTGCTCTTCCTCAAGTACGAGGACATGAAGAGGGTGAGTACCCCACTCCAACGTCAAAAGACATGCACGCCAACCACTTTACCGCTTGGGCTCTCCTGACCCGCGCCCTCGCTCTCCGCAGGATCTCCCCTCGCAGATTCGCAGGACCGCCGAGTTCCTGGGCAAGAAGATCGACGACGAGTCGGTGGAGAAGCTCGTCGACTACCTCAGCTTCGACAAGATGAAGAAGAACCCGGCCGTCAACCTGGAGGTCGTCATGGCGCAGAAGTACGGCGAGGAGAGGATGGCCAACGCCGACGCCAAGTTCATCCGCAAGGGGCAGGTCGGCGACTACAAGAACCACATGTCGGACGAGATGATCGCCAAGTTCGACGCGTGGACCGAGGAGAACCTGGCCGGCACCGGGCTGTCCTTCGAGTAGTCCCGCCGCGCCCCCACCTCAACCACGCTACCCACCCATGCAACGCACTGCCATGCCCTTTACTGTACGGTTAGACTAATTTATTATCGTGTACGTAAGTTAATTTCCGGGCCGAGGCGCCCCGCGCCGCCCCGCCGCGTCAAGTTACCCTCCGTCCGAGGGGCGCCCCGAGGCCTGGCGCCACACCCCCGCGCCGACTCGCCGGGCGCCCCGACGACAGGCTCGCAGAGCCCCCCTGTATATAAGTTGTTTTTTTTATTTTGTGTTGTTACTGATTTGTTTTACTGTTGTTTTAGTTTTAGTTGTTGGTTTTTTTTATTATTGCTGTTGAGTGTATGGTTTTGTACGTAAGTTGTAAAGGAAAACTTGTTGACAAATAAAGAATGTGCCAAACGACACGACGTTGATCCATGCGAATGGCTCAACCGTAAAAATAGGGACCAACTCACGCCAATGAATCAGAAGACAAACAATACGTCACACGTGAACATGCATATATTCACGAGAGATTTATTACTCTAATAATA